CGAAAGTTTATACGTTTATACCTAACAATTTTAAGCTGCAGACATTTCACTGACAAATAGTAAGAACACACATTAATATCTACCTACAGAGAAACCGTGTTTGTTATAAAGTGTGTCCAGTTCTATTTTTACTTTTATCTTGTAAAATAACACACCATATTTTTATAAGAAAAATAGCAAATCGATTTCTAAAACATAATTAAATTCCATCGATCATATATTACAATTCAGAGTTCAATTTATAGATACCAAATTTACAATCTATTAAGGAATTTAAAAGCCTAATCAAATAGTAATCGTAATTCTGGAATGCGTTGTTCAGTGGAGTGAGCTTTTTAGGAATGGTCATTCCCTACTAGGACATTTTCCATTAACAATATTGAATACTCATAAAAAGTTCTGGCCCTGGTGCGAGTAAAAAGATAACCAAGAGCAATAAATGAACTCTCACATTCAGCAACCTTAAGAAAATAACTATAGATAAGAGTTGTCCCGCTTTGTCGTCTTATATATTTTGACTAAATCTTACATGAAAAAAAGCAGGTGTCGATCAATGATGTCAAAAAGCCTGTACTTAAATACCGTGGGAAATAGTTGTATGAAGTGTCTAAATGTCGTACGTTTTCAACGTTTGATGTTATTGATTTTGGTAAAATTTTGTAATTTATTTTTTTTAAAAAAAAAGTTCCTTGGAGTGTTTAAGTATCCACATCTATTGACACCACTTCTCGAAATATTGTTATACAGTACTCCTGAAGTTTCTCCTTCACTGCTGTTAATATTTTAGTGAAGAGTAAAGAAAGAGGCTTCGTAGAACATTTACTTTTCATACGTTTTCATTGCTGTGCATCTATGATATCTAGATCAAGTCTCAAAACATATTCGAAAAGATCAATTCTAGCATTAAGATATTTTCTACACCCAATAAAAAATGGTAGACATCTTCTTGTTTAACACAAACACAAGAACAATAAGGATTGTCAATAATATTACGTTTGACGTATAAATCTTGATTGAGAATGCAGTTATGTCTTAATTTAGTAAGGATTATATTTGTAAAGTGTTTACCGAATGAAAAATAAGAGAAGCATCACTACTTATTATTCTACGGAAAGAGTTAACTGAGATGGCCTCTCTTGTGTCTGTATTTAATGAATTCCATTTTTTGACAGCGTCTGATACAAATGATTTATCAAACACTTCTAAACCGGCTTTTGGAATCGTGAGTTGATCTTTATTGCGAGTATTATATTTCGAGTTTTTTTTCTGTGCCCTGGTACATGCACCTTCCAGTAAATTGCCTTGAAAAAATAGTTTTAATAAATCAGGCTTATTTTTAAGGAAAAATACATGGGTTTAATGCTCGACCATTTATCTAAAATATGGAGATCATGTTTTATCAGATTATATTTTTACCTATATTCTATATTAACTTAAATTAAAATTATTGCAATGAATTATCATCAGCAAATAGTTAACACATTGACAGCATATTTTTGCAAACATCATTGACATATATTAAAAATAAAAGAGGTCTAAGGAAGTGAGGCACATCCAACCTCAATGTATATACCATATGATCGTCAGATATACCATATGTTTTTAATATGAAAAGAAGGCCATTGTGCCATACTCTATCAGATGCTTTAGAGAGAAATATTTTTAATTTTAATACAATTATTTTCAATTGTAAGCTAATTATCGATACAAGCAGGTTTTTTACCTGGTCACAGTGACCAGGTAAAAAACCTGCTTGATATCGATAATATAGTTACAATGAAAATAATTGTATTAAAATTAAAAATAATTCTCTCTATAATTACTTACACACCTTAACAATTACACAGACTTGTACAATGTAGTTAGAAACTAACGACTAATTCGAGTGTTAATCTATGGATAACTGTAAACATTTTTTGGGCCATCAATGCTATTTATCTTGATTTTTGACATCAATGCCTTTGTGAAATTTAAATGCATGATACACAGATATTTCTTAGTGACCATAACCAGTTTTGCCTCGCTGAACACGCTAAATATCAAATTAGAAAACTGATATTATAAATGCATGCAGTACAAATGTGTGAAATTGTGGCCTAAAATGTAACAAGTAGTCCTTTTTTTAATATTTGCTCACTTAATGTTTATGTGGAAAAAAAAATGATTTGTTATAGATACTCAACTATTAGCGACATTTACAAAACAGTTTGTCAAAAATCATGAAAATGATAAAAATAATATATATGTTTATACAAGTAAATTGAAGACGTTTTGTCGCATTCAGTTTCATTTTTCATTCAAAGTTTCTCAAGTATGTCCTACAAAGTAATAGAAAACTGCATAGAGTTACAAGGGTGATGGCAAAAGGGAAGAAAAGTCAACAAATTCTAACTGTTTTAAATTTTTTTTTATTCATACAAAATTTTATCCACAAAAAAGTGAATGGGATTGGGTAGCAGGCAAAGCCTATTTTAGTCCTCTCCCTAGAGATTTGATACATGCATCATTTACAACCAAATTAAGTCCAAAAAATATATAACAATCCATGCAACTAAACTGTTTTTAGCATGTGTCCTCAAGTTTGACATCAAGCGCTCTGTTAGACGCATCGTGCATAGTTTGGCGAAGATACAAATATAATTTCAACAAACGCATCTTTCATTGGATTCGATTCAAAATCTTATGGATTTAGCGACGGGCAAATAGTAAACCTTTTCTAAAGTTATCTTTAAATCTCTTGATCGGTCTTTAAATTAGTAAATTACGCATATTTGAATCCTTCCAAATTTCTGGCAAAATAAACACAAGGTACATATAAACCTACACAATGGTAGGAAATTTCTTGAAGAATAATTTGCTCCTATATTTTGCACATTTCTTTCAGTAAGGAAAAGACATTTATCTTCTGTTTTAAAATTTCGAAGGTATGGTATTTAAATAAATAAGGTATTGCAATGAAAAGCGACAGTCGAAGCTCTTTTTGCGTGGTATCAAGTATTGCTCTAATTAATATGCAAAATTTGGCATAAAGTCAGAAAAGTATTATTTTATAATTTTTTAAATATTGTCTTGTCTCCATGGTATTAAGTAATATAAGCATTTTGATGGTCCTTCATTTATGACTTGATTTAATTAGAGCAACTCATTAATTGTCGTCACCCCAAGTTTTGTCTTAATGTTTAGGAATATTATGTTTCGTGTCCAATGTTATCAGTGTTTTATCATAAGATTGCTGTTTGTAAACATCAAGTTGAGACAGTTCAACATATTGTCATTTAACTGTGAAAAGTATCCCTATAAGGAGTAATCTTAGCATGCATATATATCAAACAACTTAAAAAAATGGTTTTAAGGTAATTTTAAGGTAATTAACATTTTCATTAGGTGACTTTCCTTTGTCTAAAGGTAACAGGGTTGTCAATTGTCTGATCTTATATACAAAACAATTATATTTTTTTCTCTTGTTAGCTGCCAAGCTTGCTGGAACTTCTATTTCACTTATACAGCAAATAAAGGGTTGAAAACTATATTGCAAGCCAGAACTTTGAAATGCAAAAATTGAATAATACCTGGCAAATATGGAAAGGTATATTTGACAATATTAATTTTAAAATCTGTTACAATGTGCGAGTTTTCTTACTTCAATATTCCTCTTTCACCTGCATATAATGGTTGCACATCCCAACTTATTCGATACTCAAGACGACCAATTTTTAAACCTAGGCAGGCTACTGACACATAAGTTGATGTTACAGGGATTTCAACAATCTCGTTAACAGTCAGCATTTCGTAAATTTTCGTTCGTTATATTGACCTTATTTCCAAATATAACATCACTGGGTTGTATTTTGGCTGACGTGTTTCACGCCAATTGCTAGGCTTTTGTTTTCATACTAAATTTAGCTACGGAATGTTCCGTCTACCTGATCAATATATAGAGCTCTCGGCAGGTGTTTTCAGTTGATAGGGGATGCTTACTCCTCCTAGGTACATGATCCCACCTCTGAAATTTCTGGGAGTCCGTGCTTTATGCCCTATTCACAGATTTGTATTGTTTGTAGATTTTGAGACTGTTTGTTGTCTTCACCTTTTTCATTTAGCTGATTTATATGACGTATTTTTCCTTCTTTCTTATAAAATATTAAACAAGTAAGCTTCCACTTATCAAAATGAACGAATGTGAGTAAGAAACTGCGAGAATGTGCGAGCGAATGGGTAAGAAAAAAATCAATATATATTACATGTAAAATACATGTATATCGATTGCTATACTCAGATAAAAAAAATAGATAATAAACTGTTTTGTGTTTATGTTTAGGAATCCACATGTATTAGGTTCAGGGATATCTTAATATCTTATGATATTTGGGGAGTATGTCCTTGCTCCAATGAAAAATATGTATAACAAAAGCCAGCTTGGATGGCTCAAGACTTGAGGACGACAAAGTACGTATCCCATTGAGTAAGAATAAAAGCATTGTTTAGAAAAAAAATTCTAAAAAATGAAAATTAACTAAGGCAGAAAAAAGAAGTATAAATATTGCAACGAAGTTTACAAAAACATTATTCTTTACATATATAGAAATCCTTGGGTCAAATTAAAACCCCCATTAGAGTTTACATTTACTGCAGAGATTAACCCTTAAAGAGCGGGGCTCTTTCTATATCCTCTTTTCTTGACCTATTTCATTTTTTATTTTCAAAATTGAATATTTAATCATACGTAAAGCATATGTTTTTAATGCAAAAGGTGAAGATAACAGTGATCGATCTAAAAAAAAATCTATAAAATACAAATCTGTGAACAGGGTATAAAACACGGACCCCAGGAAACACCAGAGGTGGGATCAGGTGCCTAGGAGGAGTAAGCATCCTCGTGTTGACCGTTAACACCTATTTGACGATAAAAGTTATTTTTTATGTATTAAATCATTTCTGTAAAGCATTAATGGATATATCGTTTACATTGACTTAAAAATTATAGTCTCAAAAACTGACAATTAGCTTAAAAAGTCAAGCCGAATGGTTTTAATTCTTTCACTATCTTTCAGGCGAGCAATTATTTCTGTGCCAGCAAACTCTAGTTCAACAATACATTCGTAATGAATAGGAAAACCCTCTTCTGGAGGTTCAATTTCTATTCTTCCCGTCTCAAAACACCCTTCCTCAGTTACGTATCTCGGATGTTTCTTTTCAGATCGGAAAAGAACACACCGAATCGGCTGGAATCGCTTATTTTTCCTGTCTTCATCATGAAAAGATTCCTCCAGTTCATATGGACGAACATCACCGAGTTTGATCATATCACCTGCATTGTAGAGTGATCTAAAGCAGTGTTTACACCAGATTTCGCCTTCTTGTATGACCTTCTTACTCTCATCATCTTTTTCTTCAGTAAAAGGTCTCATGGTTTGGATTCCGTAAGAATACCTACAGACACGTGCTTTTATCACATTGTTTTCATGTCCATAGAGCACTGCTCCGTTAAGAACGGCAACTGATGAATCGAAAGGAACATAGACAGGTATATTTTTAGCATATTTTCGGATTTCTGTAGTCATGGCAGCAGACTGAGCTATTCCTCCCACAGTTATTACACAATTGATATCACCATGCTTTGCGAGAATCCGCTCCATTTCTGCTAAGACGTTGTTAGCAATAGGTAAAACGAAATTTTCCAATAAAAACGAAGAAGATAAGAATAGCTTCCCCCTTTTTTTAACCTGAACATCTGGAAAACTTTCAAGATTTTTGAAGTGATCTTCCAGATTGCAATCCCATGTTTTTTCTGCAAGTTTTTTAAGAGATGGTGGAATTTGTAAGCATAACGGTTTGTCTTCCTTCGGGTCAATAGGTCGCTTCTTTTGTTCAAAGTCTCTAATTAATTGCATGTAATCTGATCTTTTGTTTTTTTTAAATGCTTTCATATTCTCTTCTCCAAATATTTCACTCATCCAATTGCTAAATCGTTCATTGATGGCGGTTCCTCCAAAGGGACCCCCGCTAGCTTGTTCAACAATGTGAATCTCTTTGTCACTCTTTATGTCCATCACGCTGATATCGGTTGTACCACCTGAAAGTGGACAGAACATTTTTGCAGATGCCTGATTTAAAATGTGTGCTTAAGGTTTGAAAGACTAGTAATTTTTTCCTAAGTCAAAAACATGGTGACCTTATCAAGGAAACTTCATTTTTTTCTCCAAAACCAAATGAGTTTAGAGATAAACAGAGAAAAAGTAAGTATTTCTCATACCTCCCATATCAAACACCAAGATTTTTCGTTCTGTAAGGGTAGTCTTACTATCTGAATCTGGACTGTCTGTTGTATCATTTATCATATGCAGTTTCTGTAATCGACAATAGAGGGCTGCTGCTTCCGGTTCATACACAAATATCATATCAACAGCCTTTATCCCTGCCTTCAAATTAACAAAATTAATTCAGTATTAACTTATTCCATTCTCTCTCTCTCTCTCAGTCTGTGTGTGTAGATGCATGTGTATGAGAGAGAGAGAGAGAGAGAGAGAGAGAGAGAGAGAGAGAGAGAGAGAGAGAGAGAGATTGGATTCATCATCTATGAGGTGAGAATTGAAACGTTGGAATGATTGCCACTTCAAATTCACAATATGTTTTCAAAAAAGTTTCATCAGCTATATATAGCTTTAAAATTTTTACTACCTGTTCTGCAGCTTCCCTTGTGAACTGTTTAGCGGCATCTGACCAAATGGCGGGAACCGTCAGCACCCATAAAATATCCTGATCCCTGACATTTATACCCCTCATATTTAGTCGCCCGTAGAGATCATCCTTTAGATAACGAATGAGCATACTGAGAATCGCCAATCCTTGCACTGACTTTCCACATTCATCCTCAATACTGTCTGATCGAGACACTTTCTGTTTTAAAAAAAAAAACCCACTATATTGCGCCATGTACTCAGATATCAGTTCAATACTAATAACTTGCGTGTATTAGAAAAAAAATGGACATAAGTAATGAGTTTTGAATGTTTTCTTGCTTACCTCTATAATATTAATAATAATAATAATAAAAAAACAAGATGTGCTTGTGAAACACTGATGCCCCCGTATGACAGATTTGGCGAAGGTTAAAGTTTCTCACATGCAACTCAAACTCCAAGATCAAAGGAATAAAAATGTTGTTACCCAAAGAGAGGATTTGTTCTCAATGTATATACCTGTGAAATACGAAAGCGCAAGCACTAACCATTAAAAAGTTATTGCCAAGATTAAATTTTTCCAAATATGGGTCAAGCTCCTAGATCAAAGGGTCAAATTAAAGATACCCAGGCCTTGTCATATGAAATATATATGAAATATTAAAACCCTAGCACCAACTGTTCAAAAGTTGTGGACAAGGTTAAAGTTTTTCAAAAGTAGGTCAAATTCCCAGGTCAAGGTCAAAATTGTTGGTATCCAAGGGAAGGCCTTGTCACATGGAATACATCTGTGAAATATGAAGGCCCTCGTACTAAATGTTCAAAAGTTATGTCCAAGGTTAAAGTTTTTGTTAAAGTAGGTCAAACTCAAAGGTCAAGGTCAAAATGTCAAATATTTATGTCCATGGAAAGGTTATATCACGATGAATATACATGTGAAGTATGAAAGCCCTAGCACCAACTGTTCAAAAATTATGGCCAAGATTAAAGTTGGGTAAATTCTTGTAAAATTGGGTCAAACTCCAAGGTCAAGGTCAAGAGGTCAAATATGTTGGTACCCCCCAAAAAGGCCTTGTCACAAGAAATGCACATGTGAAATATGAGAGCCATAGCTCCAACCAATAAAAAGTTATGGGCAGTTTTAAAGTTTTTGCGGACAAACAGATAAACAGACAGACAGACGGACGGACAGGACAAAAACTATATACCCCCGAATCTTCGATAACGGGGGCATAAAAACATATTTTAATTTTTTATAATTAAAACTAGTCTTGATCATTATCAATCTTACTTCTTTGTAGAGTAGCCTCATTTTGATATTCGTAAAGAAATACCAGTCCTGATGTTCTTCATTCTCTACCAGACTGGCGTACTCCTCTTCTGCTTTATAACCAAAGGAATGGAAGGTCTTGTCTGGATTCAGGAGAACCGATGACGGGGCCTTTGGCGACATTGTCTGGGCACCCTCTCCCGTCCAGTGGTTGATTTCGATTTTTAGTGGATCCAGTCGATAATCACTCCGAAAGGAAAAAGCATATCCACTGTACGCAGTTCCAAAATCTAAAGCGACTACTAGTAGCTTACCGTCAAGCGAACTCGCTCCCCCAGCCATGTTTCAACGGCAAGTTGTTAAATGTTCTTCAAAACAGAATTCCAAATTTAAAATCTAGAATACTCATAAATTTAAACTACGTACCAAAGTCGTAGACCCATCCCGAAATATTTCGGCGTAATTTTAAAGATAAACAAACCTTGGAGAAGATTCGTGAAACTGTAAGCTTTTAAAATATCTGTAGATTTTTTATGTGTCAAATACATATAGAGATCGATTTCAACCCCACCAGCAGTATGTACGTTCAGACAGGATACAAACTTGTTTACCTTAATTACTGCGTTTAAATTTTCTTCTAAGTAGACAGCGGAAGAGGTTGGTATAGTTGTTTCTTTTACTTTAATCATATTTATACTTGTGCGCATTTTCCCGGTTATTATTGTTTTTATTTAAATTTTTTGCTTTAATATTAAATGGTATATCGATATTATAAAAACGATTTTGATTGATTGATTGATTGTATGTTGTTTTACGTCCCATTCGAGAATTTTTCACTCATATAGAGACGTCACCATATACCGGTGAAGGGCTTCAAATTTTGACCTTTACTCGGCACTCAGGGCCATTGAGCAGTGAGGGATCTTTATCGTGCCAACGCCTGCCGTGACACGGGGCCTCGGTTTTTAAGGTCTCATCCGAAGGACCCGCAACTTTCACTTCAAAGTGCCGAGCGCATGGCGAAGGAACAGTTGCTACCCATTTTTTATCGACTTGGGTCAGTCGCGGCCGAGATTCGAACTCACGACCTCCCGATCACGGAGCGAGCGCTCTACCGACTGAGCTACCGTGAACGGTTAAAAACGATTTTGGAAATATTGTTTAGATTCTTTTTTAAGCTAATCTGCATACTACATTTTAGTTTTCTCCATAGTAATGGCTGGAAAAGGAAATCCGAAGAAAGGTAAGCTACTTAAATTTATTTTTATAAAGATAATTTTTTTTTTAATTTTAGACAACTATTGAAAAGCAATCTCTAAATTTTATAACCCCGAAACAATTCAAGCATAAACAAGTAAATATACATTAGTTCGCTCCGAGGATAGTTCCCAATTTGCAAATGGAATTAGGAATATAAAGTGTAATAGAGGAAACAAGTACATTAAAATCTCATGTTCTTGTCTTTTTAGACTTAGTCCAGATACCTGTATTTACATGGTAAAATAATTCACAAACATTATAATTTTTTTTAGAAAACTAAGTTAATACAAAACAATAACTAATTAACAAAAAGTACATTTTATATACCACTCATATTCATTTTGAAGACAAATATACCTTGTTAAATACATCTAGTTGTACAAATACGCTGAATGTTTCATACCGTCGTGTTTTAAATAGATATTTAAAAGAAGATATCTAAAAAGATAATCTTAATTTAATCCCGCCATTTAACAATGTTTTTAGATTTCATTGTTGAGAACAATAATTTAGGAAGTAAATGGTAGATATGACGTCACTCACTAAGAACCAATCAAATTTTTCATACACATCCTTGTTGTAATATGGTGTTTTCTACATATTTGGCAAAATAATAATTACATGTACATATAATAATTAAATTATATTTACAATAAATCTCTTCGTTAATGTTCGTACATTTCAGATAATTTACGTCAAGCATAGTAATGTTCTCATGAAAATCTATTTTATAAGCGAGAAGAGAACAATTAAGTGATTCTATGCATTATGCTCTACATGTGTTAAATCCATTTCAAAAATACAGAGTTTTTATAATGTGACAGTGATGTTTTAAAATCGAGAATGGGGGTATTAACAAGAAAGTAGGCAACACAATTGCATTAATTATACGAAATTTTTGCTTAAGTTTCTTATTTTTAAATGCACATATTGGCATGGTCATTTTATATAATTTAAAACAGCAGTAGTTTAAATTTTTATTTCAAATTTTTTTCTTAGTGCAAAATGGTCAATTTAAAACTGGCTTTTTCTAAGAAACAAACCATGTGTCACCGTCATATCTATGTAGTAATTTATTGTCTTTCATAGGCATCCAGTTGATTTTTATTTTAAAAGAATCCTTTAATTTTAATTCCAATTTGAACTTTAGTCTGCTATAATTTTTATGTCCTTTTGATTTATTTAATATTGTTCATTTTATATTGAAGTTGTTTTTACATGTTAAACGCTTTAGAGTATTTATATAACTAGATAATGCACTGTATTAAAAAAATTAAAATAATAATGAAAATAGATATAAAAACTATACTTCACGAAAATTGACAATACAAAACTAGAGGAACATACCCTAGTAAGATAAAAAAAATAGAAGATAACGAACAATGATTGAAAATCTACAACACAAAAGGCATAAAAGGCTTACAGAGCCTGGAAATTCTAGAGGTGGGATCAAATGCCTTGGAGGAGTAAGCATCCCGTCAGCCGGTCACGTCCACCTTGTGTCTTATGTATTGTTCAGGTAGACGGAATAAGCCGAAGAATCGGTATGGAAAACATTAGTCTTGAGTATCGAATACATTGTGAGACATAAACACTATATGCAGGTGATATTGGAATATTACTACATAAATAAGAAAAGTTGACGATGGATAAGCTAAAGACATCTTGTTTGTATACAGTTAAGTTATTTAAATGGCCCTTGCCATGTACAGTAAAAAAAAAATCCAAATATGAAATAGATGTGGCAGACTCTGTGGTGTCTCTTATTTGGAGTTTAATGGGATATATCGACTCAAAAATATGAATGTACTTAACTTTTATTATTTGCGAAAACATCGTCAATATATCTGAAACTTGGGTTGATGGCCACAGCTTTTGAATAAATTCTGTTTCATAGAAACATAAAATCGGGTCGGGTTATAAAGGAGCACATTGATGTCCATCACATTTTCAACAGATTTTTGGAAGTACCGTATGTCCTTTAATTACTTATCTAAAGGAATGAGATTTAAAAAACATTATTGCATACCCACAAATTTAAACTAATTTGATTTAATTTTATTTCACGTTTAATAAAAGGTGGGGAACAAAAAAGAGAAAAACTACTTGTAGCAGCCATTGACTTTGGTTCGACGTATTCAGGATATGCATTCTCGTTTAAAAACGATTTTCAAACAAATCCTTTGAAGATTTATACAAACAATTGGTCGTCTGAACAGTCTGGTGGAATCTCATATAAGGCGCCAACCACAGTTCTATTAAATCCAGACCAAACGTTCCATAGCTTTGGATACGAAGCGGAAGACAAGTACGCAGAATTGACTGAAGCAGAAGAACACGAGGGATGGCATTACTTCAGTCGCTTCAAGATGAAACTCATGAATGCACTGGTATAAAAAATTGACGACTTATCATTACCATATTGCAAAGGCCATACCTTTTTTGTCTCTCTGGCCCTTTTCTGGATATACAATTTTAATTTCACTAAAATATATTTCATTAAACATGCATATTTTCCCCCCAAACATTATGTTTATTTTCATTAGTAAATAATCATCCAGTTCAACACGATTGTTGTCATTTTAGGATATTTCAAAAGATCAGACCGGAAGTGACCGTCTTTTTACAGAATTGAAGAGGGACATGGAAATAGAAGATATGGATGGTAAAAAGATGCCATATATGACAATAATCGCTCACGCCATTCGTTATCTGAAGGAACATCTACTTAAACAATTAAAGGAAAAGAACTTGCTGGGGACAATAACAGCAGACGGCATTTTCTGGGTTATAACAGTTCCCGCTATTTGGACAGATTCTGCTAAACAGTTCACAAGAGAAGCTGCTATAGAGGTAAACAAACAAACAAATGACTTTTTTTTAAATATTTATGTAACAAACATCAAACGAAGGAAATTATTTAGTAAAATGGAACAATATGTAAAGGTTTAAGGGAACATATATAAATAATTCTTATTTACAAAATAAATAAAACCCCATCAACTAAGCATGGCTTTAAAAAAAAACAAATACAAAACAAGAAGCTAAAGCAAGAAAGAACTCAACAGCAAATGGACATCTTAACAGTTTAATTTTGTTAGTGAATTTTCAGCATATGTTTCAACAAATATTCTTACCTTTAAATATTGCATAGGCTGGTATTTATGACGACCTGTTAATGTTGGCCTATGAACCGGAAGCTGCCGCCTTGTACTGTCGTCTGCTCCCTATTGATAAATTCGAGAGTGGAGGAGAACACCAAGAACTGGTCCTTCGAACTTTTGAACGAGGGAAAAAATTTATGGTCATAGATCTTGGTGGTATGTTGTCATGCTTTTTAATCTATTACAGACATGGTATTTATATAACATGTATCATTTTTCAGTTTTCTTTTTTTAAAAACTACATGTAAATTGTGCATATTTCTTCTGATCAGATAACAGATGATGCTTTTTTGTTGTTGAAAGCAATGAGTTCTTTCTCAATTCTAGAAGGCGTTGAAGCATTATAAGTTACGCTGAAGTCCTCTTTCAAAATTACATATAAACAACAAATGGCATTAAAATCATATATAAATTATTTATTCAAAAGGTTTTTTTTTTAAAAAAAAATGTATGGCTCCTGTCATTCAATATCACATGATAAAAAGTGTAACGTGTATGATTGGGTTATATATATATATATATATATATATATATATATATATATATATATATATATATATATATATATTCTCTTACTCTGTCTGAGTTAATGATTAGATAGATATTTAGGACCGCTCTATCTGAGGGTAAATCACAGAGTATTCAATTTTTTCTCTTATCTAGAGACGGGGACTTGGTGTGTTTCTTCTTGCAACGTGTTTTACCCAAATGCCCCTTTACCATTACATTACCCACACCTCTGATCACATGCGTCCCGCATGTGATTTGATTCAAAATGAAAGATTTTTTTAATGTTATGAACATAAATGTATCATGAAACTATTTGGTATTCAAGAAACATTATAAGAATTATCATTACAAAAAGCTCTTTTAACACATGCAACAAAATTTGGTCAGCAGGTACACGATCAAAATATCACATTAGGACTGATTAATCAAATAAAATATCTTGTTCCAGTTTCTCTACCGATTCGCCATCCTTCTGATACTTCGTCGGAACACGTATTGTTTTCTGATGACTTTTGGTCCTGGCTGCATCTACCTTTAGCTTTGTCTGTGTTCCGACGTCAGTTGTTACACATTTCACCTTACAAGTTAGCTCTCAAGGATCCTCCTGCGAATCCTCATCCGAACTTTCAGGTAGCTTCATAAGAGATTTCTCCACTTGCACTATCTGGACTATTTTTCCTGGCTCCTTCCAGGAGTATACTCTTTTCATGTGCCTTATAAGCACAGTCTTCGTGCCGAAGGTATGAGCACACTGCTCATATTTAAACTTTTTTTTGTTACTATCAGACAAACCTCATGCCAAGTTTTCAGTTGGACTAATATGAGGTTTAATCACTATTGCTTTGGCTTTCCCCCTTGATTTGACTTTTTCAACTTTGGCCTCTTTGTAACCATCTTTAGGTGTGATAACTCATCTGAACATATGACATCCCTTCTTGTAATTCTATATACTGTCTACAATTTATTAAACACGGAAACATCCAATATGTCCTTTTAGCTGCAATTCATGTTCCACTCCATGAATATACGTTTTCTTCTCAGATACGTCTTATAAAGATTTGCCAGACTTTAGGAAATCTAGACCCAGAATACCATCAGATTTAATATTTGCTATAACAGTATGGCAATAAAATTCACAATCACCAAGTCGAAGTGAAAAATTCCCTCTTACTCGTACCTTCAGGGGTGTTCCATCTGCGCCTAGTATAGTTTGATTTACAGGTTCTAGTCTAAAAACTTTTGTGTTCCCTATTTCAATGTATACTATCTGCTAAAATTGTTAAGGTTGCCCCGGTATCAACCAACAGATTGTATGGCACATGATTCACAAAAGCTTTAATGAAGAAGCCAGATTCTTTATTGACTTGTCCTTGCTTGGCTGCAGTTGTACTAGATACAACTTTCTTGCTTTTGTTCCTGGTTGGAGTCTTTGAGCGACTTTTTGATTCATCGTTTAACTCTGATTTCTGTATCCTCTCACTTGTTTGCTTATTCTTTACCAAACAGTCTTTAATTCTATGACCACGCTTTTCACAATTGCGACATTTATATGGAAAAGCATCTGGTTTCAATAACGGATTAGAATTGGATGGACTTGGGGTCTCTTTCCTTACAGCCATGTCTGCAATTTTCCTTTCTAAATTTCGTAATGATTCCTGCAGTTCATTACGTACATGTAGCTGCTTCATTTCATCTCTAACACTTGAGTCTTGGTGAGACTCTCTGATATTTTCCTAATCTCTAGTAGCTCCTCTTGCGAAACCGACATCATGCCAACGTTGGCGTTCGGCTTTACAAAAAGCCTCAATTTCAACCGCCAAACGTATAGCATCATTTAGAGATCTAGGGCGTGATTGTTGAATGCGTATAAGCGCATATCAAAATCTGTCAACGCATCAACAAACTGATCCTTGGTAATCAACTCGGTAACTTCTCTAGGTGCTGTCGGGTAAGCTAGGTGAGCCAAGCGTCTTATACTTTCACCGAGCGCCGGTAATGTTTCTGACGCTTTCTGTCGTCTATCCCTCAGCATTGCCCGATATAGCTCTGTTTGATTGACTGGCGCAAATCTATCTTCTAATGCATCACACAAATCTATATATGTGCAAGTCGTACCTCCTTTTATATTACCAAGGACAGTCTGTGCTTGTTCTCTCAATGATGCTGCAAGATATAAACTTTTCTGGCGCGCATTCCACATGTTTATATCACTGCACGCCTCGAAGTGAGCTTTATAGTCTGTCCAAGACCCGGTTCCATCGTACGTCGCTGGTTTCATTGCAGTTTTACCATATGAACCTCCTCCATCATTACTTTCTGTGCCCTGTGTACTCACCTTTGGATTTTGATGGTACCCTATATGAGAGTCAGTTCTGGTATCTAGCTCTTTTGCCCAGGTTACACTAGTTGTCGTTGTAGCCCCTGAAGTACACCAAGAAAAACCAGGTGTGGATCGTGCCTCGAAAACAAAGAAAGGCTGTCTGATGGAACTTTTTCTCAGCAAGTCATATTTACTGGCTTTACTGTCTCCTCTCATGTCCCTATGCTCATCTTCTCCATACAGCATGTTATCTGATTGTGGGGGATAATCTACATGACCAAAGGTGTATGGCACGCCGATTGCTTCAAAATTATTTTCTGCACGACCTTAAACAAAAATTACACGAGTAAGTAAAAACTTACACAAAGTGAGGAAAATATACACGAAGTTATTGAAATTAACACAAACTATAGAAAAACTGCACAATCAACAAAATATTTACACGATATAGTGAAAAAAATTACACAAACGTAAAAACGAAAACTGCACGAGTGAGAATACAACATTGACATAATATGCAACGCATCCTCATTGCGCATTTCATTAATATTCATTAGAGAACAGGTCAATGTGGCTTGGATGCTTATTTATAGAGTAACGTGTTAGTAATCTTTTTAAAAAAGATTCTATTAATTTTCCGCTAGATTCTCAAGAATATGCACAACGTCATAGGCGTAGTCACGGGTGGGGGGGGGGGGGCAGCGGGGGCACTAGCCCCCCCCCCACTTTCAGATATGGAGGGCAAGAGTATCTCTGAACCCCCCTCCCCACTTAATGTAAAACAAAATCACAGCTATGTTGAGGCAAGAGTATGTCTGTGTCCCCCCCCCCAACTTAATGTCGAAAAATCACAGCTATGTTGAAATTTTAGTAAACCTCTTTTTATGGCAAATTTATTGTATTTCCAGCAACAACTGAGTAAGCATTTCTCTTGAAGTAATAGTAATGTAATACTTTATACGTGCCCTCCGATAATTTTATATATATAATGTAATTAATTGCGACAAAATATAAAAAGGATCAGCGAATGACTTTATTTTTTCAAACACTTGGAGAAATATTAGTATAAGGGTTTCCGAACTGATGTAAGTTGCATATCTACGTTAATTTAAAAAATATATATCTAACAAATTTATCACCGTGCTATATTGTTTTGTCGTCATTTGTCTCGCTAGAAATGTATACAAATTTATCACTGTGCTATATTGTTTTGTCGTCATTTGTCTCGCTAGAATTGTATACAAATTTATCACCGTGTTATATTGTTTTGTCGTCATATGTCTCGGTGGAATTGTATACAGGTGCAGTTTAGAGTTTTATTTCAGGAGGAACTGTAGATATTACGGCTCAGGAAACGACACAAAAAGGCGAGGTGAAGTCAATTTCCGAGGTGTGTGGGGGACCATGGGGAGGAACCAGAGTTGATGAAGAATTTCTCCAATTCCTGATTAAACTTGTGGGAGCAGAGGTTCTAAATGAATTTAAAGACGATTGCCGGTCCGATTATCTGGATCTAATGCGTACGCTAGAAGTAAAGAAAAGAAAAGTTGATTCTCACTCAAATCATCCTGTTCAAATACGAATTCCACCACCTTTATTTGAAATTCTCGAAGAAAAAACAGAATGCAAAATTTCTGAAATTGTTAAACAGTCTCCTTATAAGACCTCATTGACCTGTTCGAATGATAAAATGAAGATTAATATCAGTTTCTTCCGAACATTTTTCAGAAACTCATTAAATGACATAATAACACACCTTAAAGTCATTTTACAGAGTCCAATCTGTGAAGGGCTGCTTGGTATGGTGGTAGTAGGTGGCTATGCTGAAAGTCCTCTAGTGATTGATAAACTAAAAAAATCATTTCCGGGGAAACGTATCATTGTTCCCATGGAAGCTGGCCTTGCTGTCGCCAAAGGAGCAGTTCTATATGGACACAATCCTGATATTATTTGTTCACGAGTCTGTCGCTATACATACGGGGATGATGTTTGTAAACCCTTCATTGAAGGAGAGCATCCTTACAGTAATCTGACTGTTTTTGACAAAGAAAAGTATTGCAAAAATATTTTTCAAAAGTTCTTTGAAAAAGGTGAAAAAGTATCCCTCGGCGAGAGACGAACGTTCACCACAGAATATGACTTTCGAGATAAAAAAAGGGAGTATCAACGAGAAGAACCATTAAATATTAAGGTATACGTCTCCAAAAGAAAAAACCCTGCTTTTATTTATGATGTTGGATGCCGAGTTTTAGGAGAAATTACTGTGGAATGCGCAAAGCAAAAGTGGCCTGAGGAGTTCACCTGTACAATAGAAATGGAGATTGGAGGAACGGAAATACAAGTGTCGGCAAAAATGAGTACTGGCGATAAAGCAACCGCCAAGTTTGACTTTTTGTGATTTATTAGTAAACTATACTTATATCCATAGCATATATTTGCAACAACAATACACTTTTCGCATATGTAGAAGCTATAGGTGAAATCAGTTATTTATTTGTTTATTATTCATCAGAGCACTTTAATTTATTCCCTGGAATAAAATGTAATTGAAAAGAAGTAACGGGTATTTTCTGCGGTTGGAAATTTTTTGCGATTTGACCCCTGAAAGGTAGCAAATTAATTTCTGCTTTTTCAATTTCTCCGGTTGCATTATATCGCAAAAATTTATTTACGGGATATGAACATCAAATTTAAGGATATGGCAGTACACTGCCATGTTTACGTTTTATAAATTAATTTGCAGTCTGTTGATCAAAGGTGCATGAAAACTGGTAATAAGCTCTACTATCCTTTAGTAGTCTGCGTAAATTATTTTCAAATCCTTTTTATTTCATACATCCTTAAGCAAAATTCTTTTTTTCGAATATAGAATAAGACGTTATGAAATAACATTTAAATCAATTTCACTAACAAACGCATCACTTGCGTATATAAAATATCTGAACTAATATTTTAAAAAAATATTTTGCGATTGCAATTTTTGCGGTTTTGTCCTATCCGCAAAAATTGAACAACCGCAGAAAATACCTGTTATATATACGGTATTTATTGAATAGGCTTTGAAGTGCTCAATGATTCTGTGCACTGTATTATCGGGATTATATGTGGTTATAACCATTTTCTTTTTGTCTTCAGTGTTCAACACCAAATTAAACGAAGTCCATCAATTGTTATGTTATAAAAGCCAGATAGAGGTTTATTTTTGTCTTTCAAATTAACAGAAACAGTATAGTGTTTACCTCCACTTTGTTAAAAAAAAAATCAACTCTAAACATTTTTTTTCATTGTACACTGTAGATTGTTACAGAGTAAAACATAATAAAGGCGAAAATAAAATATGCTTTTTAATATTGTATCATATCATATCATAAGAAAAGATTTTGGAGTGTAAAGTTTTTGGTTTGAATAAATTGAAATATGAAGATAACGAATGAAATATAAAGAAAACGAACAGTATTTAAGCTCAAAGTACATTTAAACAATACAAATCGGGAGCAGAGCAAACGCAGACCTCCAAAACATAAGAGATGTGATCAGGTACCATGGAGGAGTGAGCATCGCCTGCAGACCAGTCACACCCACCGTGTGCTCCTTGTCATGATTGAAAAAAAAAACCCGGGAAAATCCGCATACATAATGGCCTAACAATTAGTATGAAAAAAGTCAGTCAACATTTGACCTCATGATAGATTGTGTTTGCTGAAAAGGTCATTGTATCGATCATTAAACAGTATTCAAGCTCAGAAGTGCATTGAAACAAAACATACTGGGAGTAGAGCAAACACAGACCTCAGAAAACGTCAGAGGTGTGATCAGGTACCAAGGAGGAATAAGCATCTCCTGTCGACCGGTCACATCTGCCGTCATGATTTTTGCCCTTTTCCCTCCAAAGTTCTGTAATCCAAAACACAGTGAATCTCTTTAATCAGCAACTGTATTTGAGAACCACATTGTATTCTAAGATACGAAGAATTTGACTTCAATATGTCACCAGCAGGGTGTTAACGCTTGTGAAAAGCACAATCTCCTGTCACACACACACACACACACCCTCACCCACCCACACACACACACACACACACACACACACACACCCTCACACACACACACACACACACACACACACACACACACACACACACACACACACACACACACACACACACACACACACACACACACACACACACACACACAATATTTTAAGTCATATCATAAAATCGATCCTTTCTTACGCCGCGGGTTCGTATCACACTACGGGATGGAGACCGGTCCTTTGAATGAGACCGTATAAACCGGTGCTGGCACCGGTTTATATTTGAGCAATGAGGGATCTCACTGCTCATTGGCCCTAAGTACTGAGTATAGGTCTAATTTTGCAGCCCTTCACCGACAAGTGGTAACGTCTAAATATGAGTGAAAAATTCTCGAAAGGGACGTTAAACAAACAAACAAAATCGATTAATAGGTAACCAAGTAACAGGACACATGCAGCTTATGAAAATAACATAAGTGAAGTTACTTAAGATTTGTACTTAGAATCTTTCGCAGAATAATTATTCTTTTATCTCTGATATGATATAAATAACTTAAATATTGATTTATATGCAAGGATTTTTTGTCGAGAAGTTTTGAGAATCTGAGACGTTGGCAGAGGTGTACTGGAGTGGAAGGAACAGCTCTAGATTAAAGTCAACATTTCGTAAATTCTTTGGTCGTTATAATGACCTTATTAGTAAATAAAAACTATCACTGGGATGTATTTTGGCTGACATGTTTCATGCCAGTTGTTAGGCCTTTGTTTTTATTCCCATATTGACTACGGAATTTTCCGTCTACCTGATCAAAACATAAGGTTCACGACGGGTGTGACCGGTTAGCAGGGGATGCTTACTCGTCCTAGTCACCTGATCCAACCTCGGTAAATTCGGGAGGTCTGTGCTTATGCCCTGTTCACAGAATTGTATTGCTTGTAGTTTTTATGAGATCGATCGCTGTTCGTTATCTTCACCCTTTACACAGAGTTTAGTTAAGAAAATGAAAGACAATTTATGATATTCAGATTTTACAGCAAATCTGACATTTAGTGTTTTGATTTGAGTTTATAAAGATAAGAATAAAACAGACGTTAACAATAAACCAATGATATTGAGTTGTTCGTTGTTTAAACACACGTTTCAATAATAATAATAATTTTTGAATTGAATTTTGCACTTATTCTTTAAAGCCGTAGTTTCCTTACTTTTCACAGGTGGGACTGTAGATATTGCGCTTCAAGAAACAACAGAAGATGGAAAAATGAAAACAATTTACAAGGTGTGTGGTGGAAAATGGGGAGGAACCAATGTAGATGAATGCTTCCTACATTTCATCAATAACCTACTAGGACCTGAAGTTATAAAAAGCTTGAAACACGAATGCAGGTCGGAGTATTTAGAGTTCTTACGGACATTTGAATTTAAAAAAAGGACAATGGATGTTGATTCTTCGGTGAGAGTTGTACTTAAAGTTCCTGCAGGTTTTCTGGATGATCTATGGGAAAATTATGGGACTACATTACCAGACAAGATTAAAGCTTCGCCGCATAACGGTGCTATTTCTTTCGTCAGAGACAAACTTAGCTTTGAACATTCCTTTTTTAAATCTTTTTTTCAGAAATCAGTTGATGACATCATTTCTCATATAAGAAATATTTTTGAAGACAAATGCTGCAGAGATCTGACTGGCATAGTAATGGTCGGGGGATTTGCTGATAGTACTATTGTCAACTTTGCCATAAAAAACGCATTTCCTGAAAGGAAGTTCATCATTCCATTGGATGCAGGATTAGCTGTTGTCAAGGGTGCAGTTCTCTATGGCCACGACCCCGATGTGATTTGTTCTCGAATATGTCGATATACGTACGGGGAAGATATTTGCGAACCTTTCGACAAATCTATACATCCAGAATCAAAGTCAACTATTATTGAAGGAAGAAAGATGTGCGCTGATATTTTCCAAAAGTTCTTTACTGTAGGACAAATAGTTTCACTTGGAGAGGTGAAAGAAATAAGTAGCAGTATGTCGTTTGTTGATGAATTTAGGAAGCAGGGTCGCTACAGACCCATGCATTTACGTGTTTTTGTATCCGATAGAGAGTCTCCAATGTATATAGATGACGTGGGATGTCGTCAGCTTGGTGTGATTGAGGTTAGGTGTAATGATGGTGTTTGGCCTGAGAGGGTTTATATCAATACAAAAATGGAAATTGCCGGAACTGAAATAAAGGTTACCTCCAAAATGCATACAGGGGAAGAAGTCACCGCAACGTTTGATTTCCTTTGAAATTGCATTATTAAAAAAAAAGATTACCTAAACAGAGGACTTTTTACAAGCTCGGCTTTGAAGAAATCATGTTTACTTGAAAAATTACATTATACAGTATTCATACAGCTATCCAAACTGGAAAAAATGGGATTATGATTGGGCCTCAAGGCTGAAAACATACTTCTCAGAATTTCAAATTAATATACATGTAACTTTCGTGTGCTTATATTTGAATATTATACAAACTTGCAATTTCTTTTATATTATCTACAGTATTCAAAATCAAAATTCTGATTTACGTCTGCTCTCAGTTTATGGTCATGGAGTGTTTATAATTTCCATCGACAGAAAGGCATAAACAAATAAGAATATATTTTAAAACTATTTGAAATTGCAAGTACCTTGTATATTTTTGTAATATAAAGTTATCTTCTAGAGGTCTTATTTTTTACATTACTTAAATTCGCGGTTGCATTATCTGCTTCCCAGTCGTTTTAGCTCACCAGAGCCAAAGACGCAAATGAGCTGCTGCCGTCGTTGTAAACTTTTCACATTTTGGCTACTGATTCTTCAGAACCACTGGGTCAATTTCAACTTAACTTGGCACAAAGCATCCTTGTGTAAAAGAAATTCGGGTTTGTTCAAATAAAAGGCAACGTCCTATTGGAAGAAGATAATCAGGGAAAAAAATCAAAAGTAATAGCTGTAAATTCAAGTTTGTTGTAGATCAAAATTTAACTTTTGGGAATAAATTTGGAAAATGTTTTAGAATCTTCTTAACAAGAACAGCAGTGTCAAGATTAGCAAAATTAATGTGAAAGCATGTACAGGTTTTGCAGATTCAAATGTGTTAAAATCCTGTCACTATGGGGTAAGGATGAGGCCACATTAGGGGAACAAGGTTTACATGGGAATTTGTAGAAATTTTTTTTTATAATGCCTCTTTTCAAGCACAGGGCTATGATTAGTGATATTAACACGCAAGCATCATCATGTAGCGCAGACTCAAATTTATTCAAATAATTCTCTGGAGTTGCATGGGGCCACAATAGGGGATCGAACTTTTACATGTGAATACATGTGTACAGGAAAATAATCTTTAAAAAATATCTTCTTAAAAAATGCAAGGCCATGAATAGTCAAGTGATATCCTATTTGCTCAGGTAATGAAAACTCAAATTTGTTTAAATCATGGTTCTTGAAAGTACTGTGGGGCCAAATAAGGGGATCAATTTTTACATGTGAATGCAAACAAGGTAAAAAGTGTATGATCGATATACTGTATCAAATATATAGTGTAGTATTCTAATTCCTTGGTACATGTATCTAGGGTAAAAGGGTCTCTTTGTTTCAACAATATCTGATATGCGCAAAATCTTAACAACCTCAAAAATACTCTGCAGAAGTAAAACAAAGGCCCATTGATATTTTCAATCAATACAGAT